TGTTATATTTCAGTCTGGAACCATCACACCAACCACTTAATATAAACCAGATAGCAAATGATACAACTTTATTGTTTCTGTTTCTCTAAGGTGGTTCTCAATCAATTGATTACCGCCGAAAGCAGCACACAGTGGCCATTTGTGTTTTATCTGTGAGCCTTGAACAATTCTAATGACATTCAGATTAATACTTTAACTTCATGCAAGTATGAAGATGTTGCTCATTTCATCAGACATCTCAGTTGCATACTGTAATTGTTGTGATTTACTAAGGATAAAGAGGATTTATCAATGAAGCTACACTGTTCTTTACAGTACCTTTATCAGGTGATCCAATGTTACACAATGCTACTTTAGTGGCCACAGAACTGCAGTGTCATGAACTTGGACAGATGACAACTCCAATAATGTGCTCGAACAGAATCATATTCACATACAGTCTGAGACGAAGCAACGACTGTAGCCCGTTGATGAACGTAATACTTTTTTATTAAACAGTTTGAACACTTAAAACTAAATAGAGAAATTATTCAAGCTTACGCTTTCTTTTTGGCCAGTCTTACTATAAAAACCAAGGCAAAGCCTGTAGTATAAAACAATAATTAAATATTCAAAAACCACTAAAAGAAAAGGAAAAAATACACCTATTTGACGTTGTAGAGAGACATTGTTGTATGGGCTTTTGTTTTTTACACTGAATACAATTACGAAAATGGACCTTATTATAAATGATGACTCAACAACTGAGAAGCTACTTCACTTAAAACAAGCTAATTGCTCAAATTAGCTGAAACTTAATAACTGTTATAAAGCCCTCCGATAGGTCCTGCATTCATGAAGGTTATGATGCCCAGTTATTTTGTCTGAAAACTGTTCTACCAGATATTGCTAAAACTTTCTGTTGACATTGGAAACATTGTGGTGCTGTTAAACTGCACCTTGAGAGACGCTATTTGTATTTTGCCCAACCCATTCACATCGAGGAGTGCCGATGGAAACCGTTCAAGTGTGAAGTCAATCCGTTGTTGTGAAAATAAAGGCCGGACAGGCACTCCTTCCATTTTAGTTGTATGATGGCCGAATGAATATTAGGATATCTAAAAAACACCCTCGAAAACAAAACTCTCACATATTGTCTCGCAGGGTTTGGGTAAACAATATCAATATTTTAAAAAGTCTATGAGAAAAAATGCTTCTGGGACCCATGGCAACAACGTGAAGGACCCGGAAATCAGAATTCTACAGTTTGGCCATTATGCAAAATTCACTACAAAGCCCAGCGCTCTACCTGAGCGCTTTGTAAACACACACACAAAACCTCCATTGGCACTTCTGGCCTCCCCGAGTCAAACCAACTTTCAACCATGCTGAGTTGACTCTCATTTCTGCTGACAGCGCCCACTCGGTCGGCCGACATCATTCGAAGCCGGTACATTCTCAGTGCTTCGGTGTAACACTTGCCGATCCTGTTTCTGGCAACGTTTTTTGATATAGCTTTATTATTTTGCTGTCGTGTAGTCTTTTCCACAGGTTCTTCTCCATGATATAGTCGTGGTTGGAGTATAAAATTATATTGCTTTTAAGCTTCTCAACGTAGTAGTTGGAGTATTTCCTGAAGTCCTCAGTCATGAATCCATATGCACTCACCTGCCAACGTCAAGAACAGAACAGAGACGGTTGAGAATCATTCACAGCAAAAAAGGTTGGATTAAAGAAAAGTTTGACATTTTGAGAAATATGCTCATTCAATTTCTTGTGGAAAGTTAGATGAATGAGTGTCCAAAAAATTGGAGGCTACAGCCAGCCGATGATTCGCCTAATGAATTGATAAACTACACATATTCAGAGTTAATGTCTGCACATTTTTGGATGCATACTTCATGTTAGAGGTGTGGTTATCTACAGTATGGACGGCATGTGGCTTAAGTAATATTAACTTACAGTGTCACAGGTTTGCAGAGCCAGGAAGACAGTGAATGCCCCATTGGTTGGTCTGACGATCGCCCAGTGTGAAGAATTCAGATGAGGAGAATTTAAGAACCTGTGGACAATGAAAAGTGTTAAATAAACATATATAAAAAACCATCAAGACAAAGTACAGCCTCTAAATAGACCATGAATGTGTAATGTAAAGTAAAAGGTTTGGGTAGGATTGTGAGAGGAGGGTGACCTGTTGCGAACGTATCTGAGGAAATCCTGGTGCAGAACATAGAAGCGGGTCTCATTGTACTGTCCGGAATAGTAGTTCCTTGGCCTGCAGGGTTGAAATACAAAGTCAAGAGCTTAACACAAATAATTTTAATTTTCACATGTATATTGCAGTGGCACTTTCCATACTCCATACCGCATGCTACTCCCTAAGAGTGTAGAGAATGGGCAGTAAACAATTTTATGTATAATAAAAAACCAGATGATTAGTGCTGCAAGAAGACAATGGGTTTAGTGTTTCTCGAACTATAGTGTATGAGTTTTGCTTCTCGAATGGCAGGATTGAATTACCAGATTTTTGAATTTCTGCTTGAGCCACAAAGGAGCATAGTGTATGTTTGACATGACCTGTAACCTCCAGAAAATGTACTAAATGTCCTTTAATAGCGCTCACGGGTTAAAGGAGGCCGTCAGAGGGTGGATCACAAAAACACAAAGAGGGGTCGTAGACGGAATTCCTGGCTCACAAGGCCCTCCTGCGCCTCGGGGCTTTCAACACCATCCAGACCAGCATCCCAGATGGAGCTGGCCCTACGCTGCATCCTGGATCACAGACTACCTCACTTGCCGGCCACTCTGACCATCAATCTAAACGATAGATATCCTGATTTTGCTGATGTTTTTCAGTAATTCAATAAATACATGGTCTAAATGAAATAACCACATCAAGTTGATTTTTTGATATGTGTGAATTAAGTACTTAAAAATTAAAAGTTACGATTTTTTTTCTTCTTCTCAGTATCAAGTGAAATTAGTGAGAATTTTTTATTTATTTCCAGCCATACACTATGTCTACATGATTAAACTGATTAATAGTTTGATTTACCTACACTGGGGAATTCTCATAAGCAGAACTCGTATCAATTAAAATTTTCTGCGAAATTTGAATTAAGGTGTGCTTGACATGATCAATTAAGACAATGTAATTGTGTACCACGACATCTTGATAGATGATCCAGGTCCAATCAAAAACGTTCCAGCCCTGGATGTGTTTTTGTGTTTGTGCTTGCATGTTGCCCTCGACTAATAAAACAGAAAGAGTTGATATTCACCTGTTGTTTTTATATTGCCCAGCAGTGACCCTTTCTCCTTTGAAAAGACCCTCCATCCAAAAGAAATCCCTCATCCCTTCAGGAATAATTACATATTTTATACCCTGCCAAAAGGACGAGGATGACAGATGAGTGCGCATGTGTGGGATATGAAGCAATACAATATCACATGTTAAATTTGAGTTTGAGTACCTCATCTTTAGGGGCAGATGTGTATCCGAACTTCCGCCACAAATACAGCGACGTAGTGATGGAATGGGCGGTGTGAACGTACACCGATGTCCTGTTTCCCACGTCTTCCTCATAACCTTTGATGGCTGCACCGTTCATCCTGTCGCACAAACACAAAAATGAATTTTCTTTCGCTTAGAAATGAATTTATATGAAAAAATATAAGCATAATGAAGTTTATTGGTTGCTTTGAGTCACTGTGAGGTGAGCCGAGGATCAAACAAAGACAAATCAAGTAAATCAGCTTTAACGTGTCTTTGTTTCGTGTTCACACCAAACGCGGAGCGAATTGTTAAAGGCGTCATTCGCGCCGCCGGTCTCGCCGGGGACCATTTGTGTTCATTTGCGTGAATTGCGCTGGATGCAACAACTCTGCGCACACAAAAATGACTTTGATTAAATTATATTACGAACTGTATTAGGCCTACATCAGACAATGCACAGATTAATCAAAAAAACTTGATTCTTACTGTGTACATGGATAAATGAATATTAAATCGCATGTAGTCAACTACTGTTGCTAACACACTCCCATCGGCGTGTGTTACACTCTCCCATGTGCTACAAGACATATCCCACACCATAACTAAATATTGACTTGGTAAGTATAGAAAAACATGTGTGCTCCTGGTATCACAGGGTTGTATGATATGCATCCTTATTTAGGCTTAACACAACAAATCAAAGGGTTTCTTACCGAAAAACGTAATCGTGGGCATCAATTTCTTTCCCCATTTTAGAGCCATTTAGGATTCCTCCAGTGCCCACCACAGCACAGCGCAGACACTTGTCACTGCCTGTCTTTGGAGGGAGTAGTGGCTCGTTTGGCTTTGGGATCAAATTCACTGCAGACATCACTTCTGCAAAAATACCCCCCCCCCCCAAAAAAAACATATTAAATACATTTTAAGATGCAAAATAGTTCACAACATTTTCTGCAAGCAAAACTTAAAAGCATATTGCTAATGGGTTGATGTGGTTTCTTTAATATGTTAGCTTTTTACAGTCACAATGTATTTAATGACAATGTGAAAGTCTAACCCATAGCGATGAACTGGAAGAACCAGTTTTAACCTGAATCTCTTCCTCTTTGCTAAGCTGTCCAGCAGCAACTTCACTGTTTTGTTTCAGTCTGTTGGTCACAGCTTTTGCCAAAGAACAAGCTCTAAAAACCCGCTTGGCACGAATTTCCAGTTGGCTGCATTCTATAATCTCACAACCTCACCACTATGCCTCCCAAATCCTACACATTGCACCTATAAAATATCTAATTTAAAAGTATTGGTCATGCAGAGGGAACTCTGTGCTAAATTCAAAATTTAGCACATATTAAACACATTTTTCTGCGATATCTGCAATGACCTCAAATGGTTCAGGTTATGATAGGTCGTAGGGCAGTGAGTCCCGCGACAGTTTTTGCACATCTCTGCTGACACATATTAACACGTACCATCATGTTTGAACTCCATAAAACCAAAAGGATTGTTAAAATGTGAAAGCCGGTTCCACTCGCTCATGTTGGTTCTGTGCATAAACATGCGAACGTTGGGGAGGAAAGCCTTCTTGAAGCCTTCATCCTCAGAGTTTCGCAGAGACTCGGCACATGTCTGAGAATGTAAGATAAAACATTAAACTATGAAATAAAGCAAAAATAAATAGAAAAAAAACGGAACATTTTATTTGCACCTTTTCAATGTGGCTAAAACCATTGATTTAATGAAGCTGTTACAGAGGAAACACCAGGAAAAATGCCGAACAATTCCAACAGATCGACAAAATTTAAAAATGAAATTGATTGCTTATTTAACTTTAAGTGAAAAACAAACAGGAAACCCATACAGCTCACGCCAAAACATACAACTGAACACATAGCTGTGCGGATTACACTAGCAACAAAGATAGTACATTTGCTATGTTTCTGTCCTTTCGTGTCCTAACATGCTTACTGTCTGCCTGGGTGGAGCATCCTGGTTATAAATATCATCAAAATCCCACCGAGGAACCTTCTTGAAGGAGTTTCGGGAGAGGATGGGCATGGGAGTCTCAGGCGCAGCGCCAGGTGTAGTGCGTCTCGTTTGATCACTTTTTAGCTCTGCCCCACTTGTTTTTGTGGAATCAGCTATTTTTATCAAGTTTTCTTCTACTTCTCCGGACTCAACCAATTCCTCATCTACTTGTCTGGTTAGTCCTGAGAAAGTGCTCCATCTGATGTGGAAATTTGACAAAAGAGCAATAGATAATGAATAATACAAGTTTTAGCAAGACACAGGTTTAAGTGAATTAATGTATAGTACTGTACCTGGAAATGTACTGATACACATTTCCGTGGCAAAATAATGATTAACCAGATAACAGTTAAGAAATAAGATCCCCTCTTTTTACCTTAAGTCGTTCTAAATATAACTTACCCAATGCTTGATAAATGTCCAAATGTTAGAAAAAAAAGTAAAGTACAAACTGAAATCACAAGCAGCAACGAAAAACCCCTGAAGGTTTGGATTGCCATCCCTAAAGCTGAGAACTAATGTTTGGTTGAATACTGATAAGTGTTTGCCTTCTGTACTGATATTTCTAGACAGATAACATAGTTATCTTTGTGCGTCATTTAAGGACAAATGGGGTGGGACTACAGCACGTATGTTATGCAGGAAACAATCGCACCATTCACACACCTTGCTAACGGTATGTTGCACAATAGAAGGGAGGTACTGTGCAAAATTAACTTTTCAGGATTTCCAGTAAGTGTTATTTAATGACGTCATTAAAAAAAAAGAAGTTATGTAATAAATTAAGATATTTAATTTATTGTATTACAATACAAAACTATTAGAAACAATAGTCCTTTATCTCCTTTATTTGCATATGGGTAGCTAGAAAATCCTGCTTTATGCTGCAAGAGATCCGGCTGCTTTGGGTTTTGTCTTCATGTGGTATGTGAGTCAGGTGGATTGAAACAGCAAAGATACAACACAATTCAAACAAAGTACATCATATTGAAACATGTGAGCGGTAGTTGGGTGGACTGTGCATCTTGTTTTGAATACTGTGAATAAGTTTATTCAAGCATTTTTGTGCGCTTGAGTAGTCTTTCAGTAGGTTACAGGAGCGCCGTCAGAGGGTGAATCCCAAAACACAAAGATGAGTCTCAGATGGAGTAGAGTCTGAGCTGCTCCTCCATTTCTCCATCAGACACCTCCCCAAACGTTTCCTGGTTGTCTTTCAGCAGCTGGAAGATGGCGGCCAGCTGCTCACGTTGCACCCTGAAGACAAATATAGAATATTTGAGTCGTGAAACTACCCTACACTTAAAATTCTGCACACTCTTTTGTACACTTTTTTAATCAACAACGTTCATCAGGTAAATTAAATTCATAATGACAAATAGCATCCGTCCTGTAAATATGTGTCAACATTGTGTAAAAACACCAGGGCTCCTCCCAGTGCCGATACTAAGCTTTTCAAATGGCAAAACAGGTTTATTTACAAATGTCAAAAGATAAACTACGCAGGTACATCATATTATTCCATATACAAGGATGAACCAAATAAATACTTAGAGAATTCAAAAGAATATCTCAACATTTTGGGAAACACGCTTCAGCGCTTTCTGGCAGAAAGAGTGTTAAATGAGAAGAATGATAGGGCTCCCCTTTCAGTTTTGCACCTGTGGGCCGCGAGGGCCGCGGGACCGCATAGGTTATCAATTGAAGACACCAGAGATATTACTGGTATCCATGAGACGCTCAGTTACAATATAGCTTCCCACCACCTGGTGGCGGTAATGCGTCAGTCAGTTGTTTAACAAGCCCCAATAAGCAGAAGACGACACTCAGCTAGCCTGTAGCGAAAGTTATGGATAAGTTTTTAAAAAGAAAAAATGAAGACGACAGTGGTGCCATACCCCCCCAAAAGTCTAAATGTGTGTGCAAGTACAATCCTGACTTTCTTAAGTATGGCTTTGTGAACGGAGGCAACGAGGCAGAGCCGAGGGCTCAGTGTGTGGAATGTGGGCTAATGCTATCAAACGAAGCACTGAAGCCTTCAAAAATAAAGCCACACCTAGCGACGAAACATCCAACGCTCGTGGGAAAGCCTGTTGGGCTTCTTGTTGTGTATGCAGGTTTACATACACATGATAAATAAATGTCTTTGTGATCATCACATTGTCCATCCATCCATCCATTTTCCACCGCTTATCCGGGGTCGGGTCGCGGTGGCAGCAGGCCAAGCAGGCCGACCCAGACCTCCCTCTCACCGGCAACATGTTCCAGCTCATTCTGGGGGATCCCGAGGCGTTCCCAGGCCAGCTGGGAGATGTAATCTCTCCAGCGTGTTCTGGGTCTTCCCCGGGGTCTCTTCCCAGTTGGACGTGCCTGGAAAACCTCCAGTGGGAGGCGTCCAGGAGGCATCCTAATTAGATGCCCGAACCACCTCAGCTGACTCCTTTCGACGCGAAGGAGTAGCGGCTCTACTCCAAGCTCCCTCCTGATGACCGAGCTCCTTACCCTATCTCTAAGGCTGAGCCCGGCCACCCTACGGAGGAAACTCATTTCGGCCGCTTGTAGCCGCGACCTTGTCCTTTCGGTCACGACCCAGAGTTCGTGACCATAGGTGAGGGTAGGAACGTAGACCGAGTGGTAAATTGAGAGCTTTGCCTTCCGGCTCAGCTCCCTCTTCACCAAGACGGTCCGGTGCAGCGCCTGCTTTACTGCTGCAGCTGCACCGATCCGTCTGTCGATCTCCCGCTCCATCTTACCCTCACTCGTGAACAAGACCCCGAGATACTTGAACTCCTTCGCTTGAGGTAGGCACTCCGTCCCCACCTGGAGGGAGCAATCCACCGGTTTCCGGCAGAGCACCATGGCCTCAGATTTGGAGGTGCTAACTCTCATCCCCGCCGCTTCACACTCGGCTGCAAACCGCCCCAGTGAATGCTGGAGGTCACGATCCGAGGAGGCTAACAGGACCACATCATCTGCAAATAGCAGAGAAGCGATCCCGAGACCCCCGAGACTGACGTTCTCCGCCCCCAGGCTGCGCCTAGATATCCTGTCCATGAAAATCACGAACAGGACCGGTGATAAAGGGCAGCCCTGGCGGAGGCCAACACCCACCGGGAATGTGTCTGACTTATTGCCGAGAATGCGGACACAGCTCCTACTGCAGTCGTACAGAGACCGGATCGCCCGTTGTAACGGGTCCGGCACCCCATACTCCCGCAGCACCCCCCACAAGACCCCCCGAGGGACCCGGTCGAAAGCCTTCTCCAAGTCCACAAAGCACATGTAGACTGGTTGGGCAAACTCCCAGAACCCCTCCAGTAGTCTTGCGAGGGTAAAGAGCTGGTCCACTGTTCCACGGCCGGGACGGAATCCGCACTGCTCCTCTTGAATCTGAGGTTCGACAAGCGGTCGGAGCCTCCTTTCCATCACCCTGGCATAAGCCTTCCCCGGGAGGCTGAGTAGTGTGATACCCCGGTAATTCGAGCACACTCTCCGGTCCCCCTTTTTGAAGATGGGAACCACCACCCCGGTCTGCCATTCCATGGGCACTGATCCCGACCCCCATGCGACATTGAAGAGGCGTGTCAGCCAGGACAGCCCAACCATGTCCAGCGCCTTCAGCATCTCAGGGCGGATCTCATCCACCCCCGGCGCCTTGCCACCAAGGAGCTTTTTGACTACCTCAGCGACCTCTGCCAGGGATATGGGTGAGCCTCCCCCTAGGTCCTCAGGCGCTGCCTCCTCTGCAGAGGACATGTTGGTCGGGTTTAGGAGTTCCTCAAAGTGCTCTTTCCACCGCCCGACGATGTCCTCCGTCCGGGTTAGCAGTTCCCCCCCCCTGCTGAGAACAGCCTGGGGTAAGCCCTGCTTTCCCTTCCTGAGCCGTCGGATGGTTTGCCAGAACCTCCTTGAGGCCAACCGAAAGTCCTTCTCCATGGCCTCCCCGAACTCCTCCCATGCCCGAGTTTTAGCATTCACGACCACCGCAGCTGCAGCCCTTCTGGCCTGCCGGTACCTGTCAGCTGCTTCAGGAGACCCCTGGGCCAACCAGGCCTTGAAGGTCTCCTTCTTCAGCTTGACGGCTTCCCTCACCTCCGGTGTCCACCACCGGGTTCTCGGGTTGCCGCCACGACAGGCACCGATGACCTTCCGGCCACAGCTCCTAGCGGCCGCGTCCACAATAGAGGCTTTGAACATGGTCCACTCGGATTCCGTGTCCCCAACCTCCCTCGGGATGTGTGAGAAGTTCTTCCGGAGGTGGGAGTTAAAGACCTCCCGGACAGGGTCCTCCGCCAGACGTTCCCAGTTCACCCTCACTACACATTTGGGTTTGCCGGGTCTTTCCAACCGGTTCCCCTGCCATCTGATCCAACTCACCACCAGGTGGTGATCAGTTGACAGCTCTGCTCCTCTCTTCACCCGAGTGTCCAAGACATACGGCCGCAGATCAAATGATACGATTACAAAGTCGATCATTGATCTCCGGCCTAAGGTGTTCTGGTACCAGGTACACTTATGAGCCACCTTATGTTCGAACATAGTGTTCGTTATGGCCAAACCATGGCAAGCACAGAAGTCCAATAATGAAACACCATTTGGGTTCAGATCGGGCAAGCCGTTCCTCCCAATCACCCCCCGCCAGGTTTCTCCGTCATCGCCCACGTGAGCGTTGAAGTCCCCCAGGAGAACCATGGAGTCGGTAGGCGGCGCCCTTTCCAGGACCCCTCCCACCGACTCCAAGAAGGCCAGATACTCTGAACTGCTGTTTGGTGCATAAGCACAAACCACAGTCAGAGCCTTGCTCCCCGCAACCCGTAGGCACATGGAGGCGACCCTCTCGCTCTCCGGGGAGAACTCCAACACAGCGGCGCTCAGCCGGGGGCTCGTGAGTATCCCCACTCCCGCCCGGCGCCTCTCACCCTGGGCAACTCCGGAAAAGGACAAAGTCCAACCCCTCTCCAGGAGCTTGGTTCCAGAGCCAACACTGTGTGTGGAGGTGAGTCCAACTATTTCTAGCTGGTATCGCTCCACCTCCTGCACCAGCTCCGGCTCTTTCCCCGCTAGCGAGGTGACGTTCCACGTCCCTAGAGCTAGTCTATGCCGCCGGCGATCGGCATGCCCGGGCCTCCCGCCGACCCGCCGCCCGGTCTGCATAGCACCCGACCCCGATGCTTGTCCCTGCGGGTGGTGGGTCCACAGGGTGGCTGCTCCATGGTGTTTATTCGGGCTGAGCCCGACCGGGCCCCATGGGCAAAGGCCCGGCCACCAGACGCTCGCCTACGAGCTCCCCTCCTGGGTCTGGCTCCGGGAGGGTGTCCCGGTTTCCCTGGTCCGGGCGAGGTGGCTGTAGTCCGTGGGCTAACTATCATAGGGGTTGTTTTGAACCGCTCTTAGTCTGGGCTCTCCCCTGAAACCTGTTTGCCTTGGGAGACCCTACCAGGGGCTAATGCCCCGGACAACATAGCTCCCAGGATCACTGAGCCACTCAAACTCCTCCACCACGATAAGGTGGCGATTCACGGAGGAGCATCACATTGTATCATCTCATTTATTTGACAAGGGTTTTGCCTGTTCAACTCCGCGAGGGCGTCCTCGATCCCCTTCCCTTCCGTTCCTACGGCTTGTTTGCGCAAACTACGTCACAAACCATGGCCGTGTTTGGTAACCCAGCATGCCCAAAATCCTCATCTTTGCAAAGAAATCATCGATATTCATTCATTTTTTATGGATTTTCCACAAAAGGAGCCCAAACACACACTGCCCAAAGTCGCCATAACCGCTGCAAGTCGGATCTTGCAGCATTTCGACGGAAAAAGACACATTACAGACCCGATAATGTGCTAGCGGATGTTACCATGGAGCTAGTGGCTTCAGAAAACGCTAGTACTTATAGTACAAACCTTATATTCTTTTTCTATAAGCCATCAACCAACGTATATCCTTGCGTAACTGAGCTATCTGTGCGCTCGGTCGCAGCCATGACGCACAGCAAGTCTGCTACTCACACACCACGTCCAAATATCCTTTTAGAGCTCCGCCTGGATCTCTTCATGGAAGAAACATTGTAGAATGGCCATACTTTGTCCAATCTTCTTCAAATTTGAGGCAGTTGTTCACTGATAGTGTAGTTACAGCCCTATACTGTCATTTACCTGTACAGATACAGCCACAGGCAGTTATTTATACTCAAAGACACTTTTTTATTTTATGCGGACAAAAATCTTCAATTTTTACTGACTCCAAAGGCCCACTGCTCTGTTTCTGTATGACCTACAGGTTTTCTGACACTTTTGACGCATATAGTCAGAGTGGTTCAGAAGCTACAGCCATTTTAATTGGGGTATGTCATTTTAGGCGGTTTTGCTCCAAAATAGGGGTGGAGTTGAACAGGTAACAATATAGTTATTGAATACAAATGAAACCAAGAGTGAGATCAATTAGTTAAACTAATAGTGTTAATATTTGAATGGGCCCTGGGACACTTTGTACTTGAAAAGTTGGGCCCCGAGGTCAAAAAGGTTAAGAACCCCTGTGCTAAATGACTGTAATGTAATGTAATGTACCCCCGCCCTGACGACCCTGCTGTTGGGATCTGACCCTGCTCTCCTGGCTGGCTGAGACCTTCACACGTGCTTTTCAAACAAAGGAGCAGCCATGTTCCTTCCTTTCACCAAAACGCATGACCTGGGGTCTGCAAGAAA